ATACTAATTGTTGCATTTCATAAATGGGGAAATTGAGGCATATAATTTCATCAAATGTTTATCCTAAGAACCCTGAGATAAGCACAATACCTGAAGATACCCTTAAATTAACATCCTATATCCTCTTTCACACCAGAAGGCTTCTCCTTTACTGAAAGTGACACTATCATAGAATAAAGAAAATTTTATATGCATATTCTCTACATAACTTACACCAACAAATCATTTTCAAGCTTTGTATAGCATTATCCCTTAAAGGCAGGTGAGAATAATAAACTGATAATGCCGACGGTCAAGGGGCATAGCTGGAAGAAGCCGGCCAAATGAGAGGAGCCTACCTTAAGTCTCATGTTTTATCATTCGAAGATGGTGAGTTTGTCCTTTGACTCCTCTATCAGTCAGATTCTTGTAGGAGACAGTTGGTATTTTCAAACTTGGTAGTTGAGAATCTTATAAAGAGATGATGCATAAGGGCGCAGGCAGGCTTTCGGGCAGGCTGGGGCGAGGCGGATCGCTCTAAGGCCTGAGGCGTCAAGGAAAGGAGTGATGAGAACCAGCCTAGGAGGCCGCCTGGCAGGGGTCTGGCTCTGCTGAGTGTGACACAGCCAATACAAGGTGCCTTGATAGGGGGACCCAGAAATAAACGCCCCAAACTCACCCCTCCCTGCCGCCCGTCCCCACAGCACCTCTGATAGACGGAAAGCGATGGCAGCAGCCTGGCGGGGAGCCCGTGGAACTTGCCTGTGCAGGTCGGCCGCCGCGGGCACAGGGCGGCGTGGGGACGGACAGGAGCAACGGGAAGATGTCCAGCACGACTACACACCTTTGTTTGCTTCAGTGTTAAAGGGACTTAAGTGCCTACCCACTCAAACTGCCATCAGATGTTTCAGGAGAACGAGCGCTTCGGAATGGAAGGCCTTCTGTGTCCCTGTTTGGGTAGCATAGAAATAAACAGGTCCTTGACTGCAAAATTGACCTTTGGCGATTTCGAATCCCTAATCGAATGCTGTGTTAGTTTTCCATTGCCATAGCAGTTTTCTATTGCTGTGTATCAAATAACCAGAAACCTAGCATTTAAAACAGTACACATTTATCTAGCAATTTCTGTTGATCAGAAATATGGGCCCAGTGTGTCTGGATTCTCTGGGTCCTGAGCTGCTAAAATCAAGGTGTAGGTCAGGGCTACAGTTCTCACCTCTTCCAAGCTCGCTGGTTGTTGGCAGAATTCATTTCCTTGAGGTTGCAGGGCTGGGTTGCTGTTTTTCTTCTAGTTATCAGCTGGCGATTTCTCTCAGCTCCCAGAGGGTGTACGCAATTTCTTGCCAGGTAGACTCCACTTGCAGTTCATGACATGGATGTTTGTTTTCTTCCAGGCCGGCTGGACCGTGTCTCTCAGACGTCTTCTGGGCCCAGCTGGAGAAGACTAGCTTTTGAAGGGCTCACGTGATTAGGTCTGGTCCATGCAGGTAATCTATTTTGAGGTTAACTGGTTTGGGACCTGAATGACTACACCTGCAAAATCACCTCACAGCAGTGGTTGATTAGCTGGAGGAAGGTGTGTGTACAGCAGAGACCTGGAATCTTGAGAGCCACCTTCAAATTCTGCCTACCATTGTGGGCCTGAGTGAATCAAAGAGGAATCACCGGGGGCTCTCCTTTCACAACCTCTGAAAGTCTACCTCTAAAACCCAAGCTGACTTTGGGGCCTCTAGACTAGCAGGAACTGCAAATTCAGAAGCCCTCAGGGGCAATGCAGGTAGCATGGCCCGGTCTTACAAGCCTCCATTATTTTCCTTTCACACAAAACTTTAGGTCAGGCGGCAAAAATCATCATTAGTGACGTCATCTATTTCAGTTTGGGGGGCCTCCCCCTGGATTCAGCAAGCACAAGTCATTCAAAATTGCAAATGCAGTCTCATAATTTCAGATGCAAAATGCCCAGTCTCATGTAATAATTGTTATTCAATTACTTATAATGGAAAATTCTCTCCTTATCAGCCCCACAGACTCACTTGAATGGGGGGTTAATATTTACCCAGACCTATAAAACGTTTAGTAAATGGAAGAAAATGGCAAAATGCCAGCTTTTTTACAATATGATTTGGACTTCTGTTTCTTTCCACTTCTTAGAGGTTCTGTTTCTGCCAGTGAATCTGGTTGAAGATTAGAGAGCGAGAGAGAAACAGGGAATCTGGAAAGTTTATATTGGCAGGTGCTCACATCTCACCTGCCCTTCCGGGCTTCTGTGGACTCTTTAGATAACTCTTCCCACAGTTTTCCCTTTCCCCTTAGATGTGCATGTGTGCTGCTCAGGGGCATGTGTGGGTGTTCACGAGTGCACATGCACACACACACTCCCCCCCCATACACACATCACCAGGACCTTCAACTTGCAGATCTCTTAACGTCAGTGAGGTTCTCTCTTCCAGTTCTTGGACATAAAGCTCCTGACTCAGCCCCTGTAAACCTGAGTGCTGTGGTGATAGAGGTTTGTGACTGAAGTTGAGCATATTTTCATACATTCCTGATGCTTTCTTATGCAGTTTGACAAACCTCTGTTGTATTGTTCATCTTTTCGTAACTGATTTGTAGGTGTTCTTCCTAAATTTTCTAGGTTTTAATATTTTGTCAGTTATTTAACTCCATTTGCATATGGAATCTTTTATCATACCTCCATTTTAAATTTTTGTGTAAATTTACCAATTGTTTCTCTTTTCCCTCCTTTTTTTGAATTGGTAATATTTTATTAGTATTTAACTACATATTTTAAAAACCATATTTGATGTGACAAAGTTAAACTTAATAAAAAATTTTTACTTCTTGATCTGACTTTAAATGTCACAACTTTAAATGTCTTGAAGATCTGACAACTTTGAATGTATTATCTTCATGCTTTTAAACAAAAAGGGAAATAAATTTAAAATCACACTTTAGATATCGCGTAGTCACATTTTAAACCTTTCTTAGTATTTGCCTAGATTTATAAAAAGTTTACTAAATGGAAGAAAATGGCAGAATGCCAGTGTGTTTACAATAGAGCAATAAACTTCAAGCAAATAAGAACATAAAACTCAAAGGAGGGGAAGGGACTAACATTTGTTTTCTCTGTCATTCAATTCCACAATTTTGCAATGTATGTGTTGTTATCCACAATTTACAGATGAACACACTGAGGCTCAAAAACATTAAATGACTTGGCCAAGGAATTTAGCTTTAAAGTTGGAATTTGAACTCAGGGCTCTTTGATTCTAAGCATGAGTATTTACCAGTATATCTCTTTGAACATCCAATTCATATGTCTCAAGTACCTACTAATGAAAAAAATTGCATTTGTATACAATACCTGCCAAGGTTGAGACATATGTGGAAGTGCCAAGCAGAATGCCTGGCACATAGCTATTATTCTTTTTATTGACTTTAAGCAAAAAAAAAAAACATAGGTAACAAGCAAATACTTTCTAGCCCTTTAAGAAATCTTATCTTGCTTTTAAACACCTATAATATCTTTGACAATGACATTCTGCTTATTTTTTTTTTTCTTTTTTGAATAGTAGGCCAATGTTCCTGTACAATTTGATTGAAAGGTGTCAAGTGGGAATAAAAAAGATGTAGGGAAATATCATCCCTGAGATGCTGCTACTCCCACCATAAATCTCTTTGAGCACTTTCAGTTTCCATCCTGACAATTTGAATTTTGACTGTTAGTCCTCTGTGATATATTTAGAAAAACTGGCTGCAGAATATCTAGATCATTCTAAGGGCCTAAAGATTTTAGAACTCTTCATTTAGCTCACTGACAGTCATGGATGGTGTTGAGGAAAATTAAAGAATGTTGTATTCTTGAGTTCATTAAGGATGTGTGGTAGATTGAAAGAGAGCCTACATGGTTTACAGAAGGCAGAACCTTCACAAAAACCGAGAGGTATTTCAAGTTCACATTAAGTCCAGTGAAGCCCGATTATGCCAACAAGGCTGTTCTTTTGTTTACTACTCAACATGAAAGATGTGGATGAGTGAGAACAGTTGGCTGGAAAAGGCACTGAATGGGAAAAACACCTCCTGGTGGGACATAAACAGCTACCAGCATAAGACAAACAATCTCAGGCCCCATGAGGACTCTTGCATGATCTAACTTCTCTATGAATAGCATTTATACATTTGGAAACACATGAGGTTGAGTTTTGCCAAGAATGAATGTCTAAGTATACAAGTTAGATAATGGCAGCCTTAGGACACCATTTTAGTCCAAAATAGTGTGTATTTATACACACAGTGTAGTTGAGGAGAGTATTACACTTGAAAGTTTTGAAACAACCACTATTGAAAGTTCAAGGAAAATTCACTAAATCATTTTTTGAGATATGGGGTTCATAAATCTTGTACCCTTCCCACTCTATAGTTCCTTGATGAGTTGAAGTTAGATTCAAGGAGGCAAAAAGGGACCCAATTATAATGTTAGTTTTATTAATGGTTAAACTGGATTGGAAGACATTGCTGGGCTTTAGTATCTCCTAAAATCGAGACTGCAGAATCCTGATTTTACCCAGGAATAGACAGAGAGGCTGGAGCTCCACAGCACACACCTGAATGGTCCTGGAGAAGAGGCAGTTAAGCCCAGACATGAGACAATATAAGTTTGAATATAGGTGGTCCATGCCACCACAAGAGTAGATGGCACTGTGCCCTCAGCCCTTCCTGTATTTTCATGCACGCTAAGCTCTCATTACTCTCACCAATCAAGAACAAAAGTATGTACACACACACACACTCTGCTGTGCCATCAAGAGCAGGAAAAACAACTGCTTCTGTTGACCTACAGGTACATATTGTTGATTCTATGGAAATTCTATTTTCATTGTAAATACTTTCAGCTCCAGTGCAGGTTCCTAGCAAAAGTGTGTCACACAGAAAATCAACTGATTCGAAACATCTAGGGCTAAAAAGAACAATTTCAATCACAGTGGCAATAGCAGTAACAATAACAACAAAAACAAAGACAGTAAATTTTAATCTATCTTACGTTTATTATGGAAAATGAAATGGAAAAAATATGTAAAATTTTTTCAAGGTAAAACTAAGTTATCAGTTGAATTTCATTCATTCATCCATTCAGAAATTAAATCCAAAATGAAGGTGGAAGTGTATATAATTTCAGTCTTGATATATCAATATATAAATCATAAGATTTCATCTTTTTTTCTAGGAAATAAAATTGAATTAGTAGGTCAATTTCTGGAGGATGGGGGCTTTCTTAAATAAACCATTTTATGACCTTTGTATATAGATATCGTGAAGAGGTAATTTTAGATTCTAATATTGATACATTCATGAATGGAATTTCATTTTGGTCTTACTATTTCTTCAGTGATTTAACCCTATACTACACTTTAGGTCTTTCTCAGCTGAGTATTTACAAACATAAATGATTCTCACATTGATAGCTATAAATTTTTTGGGTGGCACTTAAATTAATACACATTTCCCAAAATACTTACATAAATTAATCTTGTGAACCACAGTAAATATTGACAAATATCAAGATTTCAGGTATGCTGTTCTTATAAACAAGTATGTTTTTAGTAGTTAAAAAACACAGCCAGCTATAGTTGTAACTGTAGTGTTCTTATGGTTGGTTAACCTTTTATTTTTATCTTAGATATAAAGATGGCACATTCATTCTCTGAAACATAAGTATGTATTAAATGATATCATTAACTTTCTACCAAGAAGAGGTTATTTTTGCACCTTGCCATGCAGAATTCTCTATTAATGGGAAATTCTGGTATTTCCATTCATATCTTCAAACTAATACCCAGTCAACATAAGTTTTAGTGTCAAGGGATTGGAGTTAAATCACATTAGGTTTTAGGAACCAGATCAGACTTTTTTATTTTAATAGTGTACTTCCTTTTGGAAGAAGTGAGAGAAACTCAAACAATATCAATTCACAGATTGGAACTGCAATAAACTGAAAAATGTCCAGTGTTGACATCTGCAGGCTGATGACTGAGGTCTTATTATCAAGTCCGCACGGTATCATATTATCAACAATAGTAATTTATTTGAGTCCACCTTAAGGAACTCACAATTGCTCATATCCTGTTGTCCTACCAACATCATCTGTGTAATTAAAACGCATTTTTACTCTAGACTTCTCTTTGGTGTTGCTAAACATCGTTTTGCTGATCTCAAAAGACTGTCTACGGTTGTTTTCCACTTCCCGTGATTACACACTCTTGAAATCTAGGGAAATGTCTAAAAAAATGTAGGGCTTTTATCAGCCTGTGCAAATAAACACACTAATAAATGTACAAACAAGGTCTACAAAACATAATTGGTTTCCCCCAGTGTTTGTCATTTTCAGATATAAAATTAGGTGCTTAAAGAAACAGCACTAAACCTTCGTAGCTGCTCAGGTACAGTCTGTGCCTCAGGAAGATGCTAACTACATTTTCGTGGCCCAGAGGAGCTTTCCTAATTTTCCAAATCTGCTACCAGGGACTAACACCATTTAATGGAGAGCATCTGAACCAATACTAATATATGTAAAACAGAATAGTCATAGAAAAATGCAGTTTTCAATGAGTTGTTTGTGATTTACTTAAGTCTACCAGTATGAATAAAATGCATTTATGTGTGCACACATATGTGGGTAAGCTATTTACAGTATGTTATATACACATTTCTTATGTGTAGAAAATGAAAATACACATTGAGTTAGCCCTTTTGAGGCTTTTGAACAACTGTTTCTTCTTCCTGCTTTCCTGTAGCTGCTTTGAGGATTTACATAATTCATACGAGGTATGTACACAATCATACCCATAGTATGTACATCCTAGTCACACACTTAACATGGAGAGGATGTGTGAGGAACGTAAATCATCCCAGTGGTCAATGAACTGACCTTACCTGTGACTAATGGCATGGTTAATTAGCCCTGGCATATTTAGTAACATGCCAAAGTACCGATTACTATATTCGGCCTTTGTGATAGTTATGTTATCTACTCTCGGAGATGATTTAAAAAAATCAACAGCCCTTTCTGATCTTCAAAGCCCAAAGGACTGTTACTGAATACACACGCACGCTTTCGTTGGGTTCATTCACTTTTGTACATGTGCCTACCTTATGGCAGAACTTGGCCTTAAAATGGGAAACGGCATGTTATTTTTTTCTACACATAAAAATAGAAAACCAACCACTCACAGACCATACACACTTACAGAATGTATTGACGTACCACAACCAGGTACAGTATTATGCACAACATTTTGTTCACAACATATTAGTACAGCAGAGATAAATACATTTAGAAATTTAGCAATTGTTAGTATATTTCTTTCTTGAGTTTTCAGGCCCCATTGACCTTTCTCCACCTCAGTAAAGGTATCTCAAGATGCCCTTAAAACAAGAATTAGTCTCTCCCCTCCTAGGGATTCAGGAGTATGACTATAATACTGTAATCTCCTGATTTATCAATATCATTTTAAGACATTATGAAAAACATTATGAAAAATAATTTACTCAAAGATGCAGTTAAAATAAATGCTAAGGGACCTAATCTAAAATCGTTAAGAGATACTGATAAACCCGAATAAGCTCTTTTTACTCATTCAACATAGTTTGCTTTATACATAGTCTTTACTTGATATTACAAGCAATGATATGAATCAGAAAAAAAATTGTGTAACTGCTGAAAAGTTTTTCTAAAGAACAGACAATTTAATTTTTAAAGTAACAAAGAGTAATGCTAGCAGCAATATCAGAAAGCAAGCTATAATTTTCACCCCAGAAATAAGTGGATGACAGGCCCACATCTTAAGAAATCAAAAGAGAAGTTAGCATTTCTCTCCCCTTTAATTCTCCTTAACACACTTAAATCACTAGGGTATCGTTCATCATAATTATCAGCATGCTGGTTGATCATCAGTACCTTTTCTTGAAGTGCAAATTATGTGACTTTTATTCCTACTGTTTGCAGCCAGTGGAGTTGAGCTTTAACCCAAAAAGATACTTGATGAAGAAGTAGTATTTAGGAACGCCCATCTGGAACATCATTTTCTTTCCATAAGGCATTATTTGAGGCCCCTTTTGATATGAGTACTCACGTTTTAGTTATTTTACATTTGGAAACCCATTTTTCATAGCTAAGGCTGGTAATCCTCCAGGCAGAGTTCACTGAATTGCTTTTCTACATGCAAGTGTCCAGGAAGAGTAATTACCATATGTTTAACTTCTCCATTTCAACAAAGTTTCTGGTTGGAGCTGTCTTGAGTTTTAAAGCTAGCAAGACTTCTGGACTCCTTTTCTGTATTGGCTGTTCACCCTGTCCCTAATAATGCTCACTGGTGCCGCACCTCTTCATGAAGCTCATAATCAAGCTTTTCCAGCAAGGAAGGAGAAATGATGCCTTTACTTATTTTATCCTGTGGGTTAGTCAGTCTTCATGGAGCAGACCGTACTGTATAATGGTATGCCCACAGTAGATGCACTTGCTGGTATAACTGCCTCTTTTCGGCACATTATTGCTTGGCTTTGATTTCATAGTCAACAGTCTTTATTCTCGTGATTAGTATCTGAGATATCTGGGACTTAAAAAACACACACACCAAACTTGTAAATAACATCTTGTTGCACCATTCTGGCCTCCGCAGTCATTTCACCAAGGCCCATGGTTATTTAAGTGTCCTTTAAAATGATCACCACTTTGATTAAGAGCCAACAGTACTTTTTCAGGCTGTTTTGTTATTTCTATCTACACATATATACAGATGTATTGGATTTACTTAGAGAGGTTATTTGGTTGTGGCAAGTGAGTAGGTTAGCTGGTGAGTGTTCACAGTTAAAAGTAATTGTAATGACCTCTGGTTACTTGTGAGACAGAATTTTTCCATCGTCCTCCACTTCATTTATGTCCTTGGTCATTGCAAATCAAGTTTATTTGATTTTTGTAGCCAAGAAGAATTTTTTTTCCAAGACTAGGATAAAGTTCATTGAAATCTGTTTCAATATTTACAAGACTATATTTCCCCTTTTGCAAAAGTGTCTAAAATTTTCTAGACATCCTTAAGTCCATGTGTCTGCACAGATGATATTTATAATTACTCAGCCAGTTGCAGAATTTCATTAGGAAGGATGGACAGGAGATTCAGCATATCACTTGTTATTTGCCAAGTGGCAGCAGCTGACCAACATTTGGAGCGATTCAACCAAAAGGGCCTCATACAAGGAACATTGCTAACAGAAAACAAGTGCTCAGATATGAATATAAAATAGTAAAAACTGAAGCAAATGTGGACAAGATTTCTGATTCACTGCATAGACAAAACAGGGGTGGGGACAAGACGGTCAGCTCATTCATCCAAGATACTGCTGAGTTCACTGTATTATTATCACAAAGGGAAATTCACAGGCCTCATTTCTCAAACGCCATTTAGGACAAAGCAGGAGAGAGTCACCAGCAACATCTCCATGGCAGCACTGTAGATGACTGGGAAACCACACGGGTAGAGGCCCACAGAAGGCTACAAGTGCCCAATTTTCAGTGAAAACACATATACATATATGCAAACCTTATTCTAATGCATTGTTTTTCTTTACTGATTCTTAAAAAGCAGACAAGGGATGTGGTGAATTGTATGGTATGAGAAGTGCACAAATCTTTTAACGCTTGCACAATATGTTGAAGGAAGAGAAGGCAATTTTTTACATTTAGGCAGTAAAACAGTAACAGAGCAGACACAGCAAAAGCCAAAAATTTACATTAATAGCATACTCATATATATCCTCTGTAAACAAATTTTAAAGTCACATCATAGTATATTCTTCACGCGGTATATACAGGTATTCCTGGAATGATAGGAACTCCTCTTCAGCTCTCTATTTTAAGACAACAAGCTTAATCCTAGTAAGGACTTGGTTCCAAAATTCAAACTCTGTGGTATATGTTACACATGCATATTCAGTCCGATTTATTTAACTTTTGGTATTTAACCTAGAGCACGGAGAACACTGGTATCCAAAGTAATGAGTATCAGACAATTCTAAAGATTAAAAAATCAAATGATATTCAATATGGCTGAACTTGTCAAGGTAGGAAATCATACTCATCTATTTTATAAATATTTCATTTTGGATGCAAACAAAAAGGTTTCTAGTTAACTTTGACCTAACAAAATGTTCAACTTATGCCACAGATCCAAAACACATGGCGGCTAATTAGGATCTTATTATAAGTAGTTGGTCTGTGCATTAAACCAACAACCAAGAAAGACATAATTAGAAAAGCACTGAAGATAAACATATAACAGCGGAAGGGCTGACATTTATTTGTCATCATAAAAATAGAAAAATCAATATTTAAATTAAAAAATCTAGTATTTACTGGGTAAGCTGGATAGCATCTCAACATTTTAAATGTTTCATTATCTTCCAGACACTGTGTTTCAACTCATCTTTCTTTTACCACTGGTTCAATAAATATTTGTATTTATTTACTTAATAAAAGATTTTCTTCATTTATTTCAACAACTAAAATGCATTAAAAAGGAACAAAACATAACCAAAAGAAATTAAGGACAAAAACAACTTTCAACCCAATGCGTGCCGTGCAGGTAAGGAAAAGCTGAACACACTCAGAGTCTGCCATTCAAATGGTTTTCCAGCCTCTTCTGCTGAGTGAACCTGAGGAGTCATGAATGACGTACTGAGAGTCTATGCTGTGCCACAGCCCAAAGTTAAGGCAGATTTTCAAATCAAGGTTTTATTGTGAGAGTAAGTAGGTATCATAATGCAGAAACATGGTTGTCTTGAACAGGCTCCTATCTTATTTATCCATTTGATGATTGGTTTCTGTTACTGTTTTTAAAAACTGTTCCTTCTATAAGGTTCAATAAGCAACAGAGCAAGAAAGCTTTTGTAATATTTTGTGACAGTCTCTAGAGTATGGCAGAAGTAGAGACAAAAAATTAAAAATTAAAGATTCTTAAGTTAAAGGTTAGTTCCAGCACCAAAGAAAAGCAGTTGGAGTGACCACCTCAAACATTACATTTTAATATGAGAGGCACAACTACAACACCAGATTTAGTTTTAATTAATTTAATTTAAAATTTAACGTGCAACAAATGCCTATAACTCGTTTAGGCCTGTGCCTCATTTAACTATTTATAAATCATGTGGTTACTCCAAACTCATGAAAATAAATATTATTACCAGATGCTGAATTCTTCCTTTCCTCCTGTTTTAATGCAGGGACAGCCTGTTCTAGCCACTTCGCACAGAGGATTACCTGGGGCCCGCCCAGCTGGAGTTGGCACTGTTGACAGCTGCCAGTGTGTACACAGGGTGTTCTCTGTGCATACACAGCGCGTATGCCAACGTGTGAGGGAGACAGCCAGTGAGCGAGAGACAGGAGTGAGGCTCCATCCTGGAAAAGGCGTCTCCCACAGAAGTCACATGAACATTACTACAAATGGATATTTGTAGTTTTAGACCAAATCTCTAATCATTAATAGTAATTTCATTGCTAATTTGATGAGAATTTGTACTTTAGACAGCATTCTTAATAAGAAACTGAAAAATGTATCATGAAAAGATTCATTAGAAGCTCCAAGTACAACCACTGTCAAGTACCATTCTCAGGCCCTGAGAATGCTGTGACTGTCGTCTACTCATGCAGGCCACATGTAAAATCAATGACTGTTACAAATTTAGGTGTGTCCAGTGTAGCTTGTGGTGTTTAAGTTCAAGTATGATTTCCCCCAACATGTTCAGCATCTGCAAAAAAGAATTAAAAAAAAAAAAAAGCCAACACGGAGATTTTTGAGTTCATGCAAAAATGGCATTTATGAGTCTCTGGAGAGAGAATACATGGCCATCTGTCTCACCTAGGCGAATGAGTTTAGAGAAGGCAAGCAGTGCCTCTTCGGCATCTAACAACTGGATTTTCTAAATGCAAGGTGGTGGCGGTGATCTCCCTACAATGAATCCAGGAGGGGAAGCCTTTCCAGGGCCCTAGCTCATTCCCCTCTCCCACATTACCCCAATTCTCAAGCCACTGCTGGTCATCTTAGCCTAGTGCCCTGCAAGACACTGATGGGCCCCATGGACAGGGTCCATATTTAGAGACAGGTGAGGGCTGAGCTCAAACAGGGGCCTATGACCTCAAGGACCAAAGCTCAAACTGCAATTTAGTAAAAGCCTTTTTTTTTTTTTTTTTTTTTAATTGGGTTTGAAGGGTGAGATATGATGGTATTTCTTTTAAAATCAATAAATTTGCAGATGTTACCTTATTGGGATAGATAAGAAACTTAAGCAATTACGTGATATTAGTCTGCATACAAAAACTGTCAGGGAGCTTGTGTTCTATTTGCTGTTGACTACATTTTCTATTAGAAGCTACTGAACCAAATCAAAAGAAAAATACAAACTGCATTTTGTTTACAGGAGTCTAAATGAAACACATTGTTTTTGTAACTCAGGAAGCTTTTCTTTTTTTCAACAAAGAAGAGTGTTTGTTAACTGGTTATTTATGATTCCTTACCAGAACCCTAACACTGTCGGTAGAATGTTTTTGGAGAACACCTATACAACATAAAATTTAGTATTATCAATAATTTGACGATTCTTTTCAAGAATTTAGCCACATGTACTTCCCCCAGGGTAAGGAAATGTTAAGTTAACCTAGTCTGAATCACAGAGATGCACCTTGCCTTCGGTGCCGGAAAACCTGTATATATAAATTCATGTGTTATGTGGGCAGTATTAATATTCAAAAGCATAGCTAATTCTCCTAATACAACTTTCTTAAATTTATTAAGAGGTATAACAAGGTTTATAAAAATGATTATCTGTAGGTGCTTACAAATATTAATTCGTATTTGGCATTTTATGCGTTTAAATGCTTTTTACTTCATGTCCTCTGGCCTAGGAATGAGTTAAATTTGTTTCAATTTTTTTTTTTTTTACATCCTAGTTCTTATCGGCTCCTTAAACTTTGCGTGGTAACGGCGTTCTTATTGCAACAGGACTAGAAAGGATACCGGTGGTGTTGCTAATAGTGTTTTTGGTATTTTTAACACGGAGCAGGGATTTCAATGGAAAATACCTCAGTGTGATACATTGAGACGGTGACACAAAATGACACACGCGTAATGGTAACACCGGTTCTAGGAGCAACAACAGATGAAAAAACACAACCCAGCGAATCTTATTTCCTCTTAATGAAGGTCATAAACTTGCAGCGAGGCCTGCTTCCCGCTGCAATGGTATTTTAATTTCTGGAGCTTCCATCCAAGGGCCCAACAATTCGTCCTTGCGGTTTCCCGTCGCTAATACTCGCTTTTCCTTCCTGGTCTCTGGGGGGGACACGCAGCCAGCGCGGACGCGGAGGGACACCCGCGAGCCCCGCAGGCGCCCGCACAGGCCCCGCGCCCTTCAGTCTAGCACGGCGGACGGCGCGGGGCGCACGCAGCAGGCGGGGCGCCGCAGGCTCTGCAGCAGGGCCTGGAAAACGCCGTGCTGCCGGCCTTTGAGCTTTTTATTTGAAGACGTCTCGGAGGAAATGGATCTGCGGGCCTGGCTGCCTTGCGCTCGGATGGATTTCTCGTGCTCCCGGATCTGCCTCTGCAAGTGGTTCTGGATGGCGACGCCCAGGGACTCGGGGTCCAGGGACGCGCCGTACACCTCCCAGGTCATGCCCTGCTCGTCCCACACCACGTCCCGCACGCGCTTGGACGGCTTCAGCGGCAGCCGGGCCTCGGCGCCCAGCGGCTTCTTCTTCTCCCCGGGGGTGAGCCCCACCTGCGCCACGGCCGCGGTCACGTTCAGGTCCTTGAGGAACTCGCTGACGCGGCTGGCCCGGCGCGGGCTCGCCTTCACCGCGCGCGCTGGGGTCCTCTTGCC